TTTATTTGCTAAAAACTGTTGTGCATATTTTGCTGCGTATACCCTTGTGAATATTCTGTACCTGTGAATTTCTGTCACTGATTGTTAAACAAAGGGCTTGCGCTTTTTTGGGAGAGAATCCCTGGTCAGTTGCGCACCGGCCAATTGCTGTGTTGAATTCATTATCTTTCTTACAGAGAACCACTATTTAGAATTCCTCTTTTCAACTTATAAATTGCTTTTATAAATTGCTTATTCATAACCCGTCATCTAAGTTTTGTCCATTTTCGTAAACTTTACAAATTAATACGAGCAAGGTGTACGGCTTCAAATATTTCCTCTCATAAAACCGTACAAATGTTTCCATGAATCCCTTTCCAAATTTCTTGAATTATAAGTAAAACGCAAATTCTTGCTGGTTTTTGGCATGTCTTACCGATTACTCTTGTATTTAACATAAAAATTAATTGAAATGTAAATGATTTTTAAAACATCTCTCTATAGTGAAGTTCGTAGGGTGAAAACTTTTGAGATCTTCTTGATGGAAAATATACAATATTTTTAAATCAAGACGTTTTGGCGGCCTCCACTCTTGATAAGGAATTTTTTTCACAGAAAATTCAAGTGTGTCCTAAATAGGTAAACGTGGGAATGCGATACAAAATTTGCCGCTTTCATGCAGTAGAATGATTTGCCTAAATTTATCTGAAGTGCCAAAAAAAATCTGAATTATTTTTTGTAAATATGGCAAAATGAAACGGAGAAAAAACCTGACGCAACTGAGTCGTCAACAGATCGCAGCAGCTGGAAAATCCTGCCCAACGTTTGTTGCGCAGTTGTCAAATTCATCGTCTCTCCGCGCTCAAAAAGCGACTTGCAACGATCAAATGACCTCCGCACGGCCCAGTGGTCCATCAAAGCCGGAAGTACCGCAGCTGCCCGGGCTCTGTTTTCTTCCGCCGTGAACTGGTACCCAAGCAGGGGTTCCAGAATGCGTTCAGCCACGACTTCTGTCACGGGACCCGAACATGCCAATAAACCCCGGGCGTGTTGCGTGAGTTCTGAGAAAAGCTTCGGCAGCATCTTTTCGCTGTATCCACGCACAGCTTCCAGCAATCCCTTGTCCGCTTTTCGAAAACTTTTCAGATCCTTCCAAAGCAAAAATTTGTGCAGTATAATAAAAAAAATCAACTCCCGCTGCCAGGACTTTTTTGCAGATTAGTAGACAAACTAAATATCGGTATTAAAGCACGTAGACATAATCCAGAGGAAACCTCTACATGAGGACAATTTGACATAGGAACATTCATTTTTCAATAAAAAGGGCACAAAAAAGGCCCAACATATGGACACTGACTCAGACATGAGGACATTGCATGATAAAATTGCCAATAAATTTCACAAAAATTTATTTTTATTTGGCTTGATTGCAAGAAACAGATATTTCCAACCCTAAGATTTATGCAAGAAAAATCCTTTGTCAATTCTCCCATCATTCTCCCCTCCATTCAGCAAAGGAATAAAATTACCGATTGCATAGCAGGACTTCCTTCTCTCTTCGTGACTTGAATGTTATTTTGGTAGATGCCAACATTTCAATGTACAGTACAAAGATACACTATTCAATGCTCCAAATGTTCTTATTGAGTTGAAAAATATATTCACTGAATCAAAGTCAAGTGGCAAACAATTTTTTCATGGAATTCTGAAGAATATTACTTCAATTAAACATCAATTAAAAATTAAATAATGTAAGTCTATGGGAAAACAAGACTCGACTTAGGGAAAATTCAACTTAGGGACATTCTTGATGCTCCAACTACGTCTGCCTCTGGGGGTTTCACTGAAAATAAAATAACTAACATGCGTATTGGCCAGTACAAAGTTTCCAACTGCAAATCAATGAGATATAAAAAAATGGGCAGAAAAAATGTTTAAATTTTATAGACATATTTGTACTTCGACAACTATGATAGGTGTTTTAACCCGAGTGATTTAATCGCACAAATGAAATGTATGTTGGAGCATTCGTATGTTGGATCAAATTTTCCCATAAACTTCATTGAGAACATTTTATTTGTTCTTCTGTTTTTTAAAATTAGGAATAAGTACCCAAAACTGAAATAAAATCTTTTTCTCAGCTTGACAATATTTGGAAAACTTCCTCCCAACCTCAAAATAACTACGCAGAAAAAAAACCACGAAAAAATCTGATCTTTTGGCAGCAGAAGGAACTCAAGAAGCAAAAACAAGAACAAGTCTAGCTATATACTGATGTGCACAAAAGATGACAAAACATCCTGAAAATAGGAGCACAGAATCCACCAGTTTTCGATGATGAATTGAATTAATTTCACAGTTAAATTTATTTTCAATGTTAAAAAACCAAAAATAGCTGAATTCGTTCAAGAGACATCGAAATTTAGGAAAATTCAAGTGTTTACATTTTCCTACGAATGTTGTCACGTGCCCATATCTCAAGAGATAATTGTTCAAATGTCGGATCAGTTTTTTCAGTTTTAAATGTCACAAAGTTGAATCGCCTGATGTTTTATAGGTCGGGGTCCCACTGCATGTATATATACGGTTTGCATGTATATACCGGATATATAAATAAATATATATATATATATATACGATACCCCCGAAAGTATAAGCGAAGAACTAAGCATATAGCTGATGGAAACGGACCCGGAATAATGGGGTAGCAACAGGGGGGGTTTGGGGCTCCTTATAAGACGGGTTACCTGGTAAATGCAGTGATCGATCACGTAAGAGATGTCGGGAATGGCTTCGCTGGTGAAGCCGTGCTTCTGCTGCAGGCAGTGATAAATGGCGTGCAAGTCACGCAGTCTGCCTACGGAAGCATTCGAGCTGCGTTTGATGTCTTCGTTGTTGGGGTACTTGTCTGCCAAGAAGGCCAGCAGCAGTCCAGAGAACCTCACCAGCTGCGCTCTTCATCGGGATCCCACCGTCGTGATGTCATGGGTTTCACACAGCCAAAACGAAAACAAAATGAAAAATTTTTCACGGAAATTAATTTTGACAGCAAAAAAAAAAAGGCTTTTGAATTTGAGCCCAGGGGTCTTCAAAACTTAGAAGTAAGAGTAAAATGAGAAGTTTTAATTTAACAAATTCTCCAAGTACAGTAGGTCTATGAAGTTCCCCAAATAAATAAATCCCTTTATGACATTTCAACTCAGAAGTAAAGGTTCTGTAATTTAAAACGAAGTTCTATGAAATTTTTTTAAGCAAGTAGTTCTATGAAGCTCCACCAAATTAATCCCGGTATGGAATTACCCAGTAAAAAAGGTGATCATAAAGTCGAAGAAGTACTAAACTCAGGATAAATGCTCCTCTGAACTTATTTGAATACAGTACAATGGATACGAAGAAATTCGTGGGACCAGAAAGAAATCGGGAAAATGTCGAAACAGAAATTAATAATACTTTAAATTGGGTTGGGATGTGATCCCATATGACCTATTCGGGACAAAAAAAAATCGCTTTCACAGAGAAAGTCGTTGTAGATGAGAGCTGTGTCTACCTGAATTAACGTAAGCAAATTTCTGAGATTATATTCCATCCAAAGTCGAGAAAATTTGAATGAAATCTCGCTACAACGAAGACATCATTGGAACCAGTCACGTAGGTTCGCTTCAATGGAAAAATTGTCAACATTGCGTCTATAAGGCTGGGAAATAAAATGATTCCATTGTAATTGATTATTTGTCATAACGAGATTTGTAAATTCTGTTTTAGGGGAGCATAAAAGAGCAAGTGAACATTTAGAAAAGAAGTAATGTACTTCAAGTACTGTTCTGTAATGTGAAACATCTTTAATTTGAAAACCGGCGGAAAACAGATTTTCGATTTCTTTATTATAATGTATAATTATCTATTCATTATAACGAGTTTCGTAGCAACCAGATTCTATTTTTAGAGGGAATATAATAGAAAAAAATGAGCATTTGCGATAAGAAATACAATGCAGTATTGTGAAATATCTATAATTTTAAAATTGAAGGGGATGAACTTTCAATTCATTAATTGCAATCGATTATTCGTCAGAACGAGATTCGTTGTAACGAGAATCAACTGTTGAAGTGAACATAACTTAAAAAGAGAACGGATGCGAAAAAAGTACTGCAATGTAATAAATCTTGACATTTTTCAAAATTGAAAACCGATAGCAATTTTTTTCAACGATTCATGTCGATTGGACTATCCCAAAGAAAAATTTGGGTCCGAAGAGTATTTTCAGCGATCATAAAAAGAATTCACCTGACAACCGAGTCCAAAATTCTGCTCATCACTGCATTAACCACGATACATTTCGCGAAAGATTTCAAATCCCCTTCGCCTCCAGTCGGCTCCAAAAGACCGAGAACACTTCTTTCGATCCCCAGAAACTTCTTCAAATCGAATTTAGTGCCGATCCTCTCGAAACTCTCCATCGAACCTGAGCCCGGCAGCCAATGCTTGTTCAACGTGACGAAAATCAGCGGCGTGC